GATCCAAGTACTCTAAGTCTTTTCTTAGCCTCTTTCAAAGTTTTCAAGGTCTTCCTCTACCCTCTTCGGCCTGAACCTTTGTCCCATAGTCCATCTTCTAATCGGAGCGTCAGTAGGCTTTCTTTGCACATGTCCAACCACCGAACTTTTTCTCTCATCTTTTTCAATTTTCGGCTACTCCTACTTTACCCCGGATATCCTCATTCCTAATCTTATCCTTCATCGTGTGCCCATTCCAACGAAGCATCCTCATCTCCGCTACACCCATTTTGTAATGTCTTGATGCCTTCATTTCCACCATTCTGTCCCATACAGCATCGCTCGGAACTTATCTCCGCTATATTTTCCCTGTTCATGTGCAACATTCGTGCCATACAGCATCGCCGGCCTTATTGCCGTCCTATAAAATTTTCCCTTGAGCTTCAGTGGCATACGGCGGTCACACAACACGCCGGATGCACTCTTCCACTTCATCCATCCAGCTTGTATTCTATGGTTTGAGATCTCCATCTAATTCTCCGTTCTTTTGCAAGATAGATCCTAGGTAACGAAAACGGTCGCTCTTTGGTATTTCTTGATCTCCGATCCTCACCCCTAACTCATTTTGGCCTCCATTTGCACTGAACTTGCACTCCATATATTCTGTCTTTGATCGGCTTAGGCGAAGACCTTTAGATTCCAACACTTCTCTCCAAAGGTTAAGCTTTTGCATTTACCCCTTCCTGAGTTTCATCTATCAACACTATATCGTCTGCGAAAAGCATACACCAAGGAATATCATCTTGAATATTGTCCTGTTAACTCATCCATTACCAACGCAAAAAGGTAAGGACTTAAGGATGAGCCTTGATGTAATCCTACAGTTATAGGGAAAAGCTTTCGGTTTGTCCTTCATGAGTTTCTTACGGCAGTCTTTGCTCCTTCATACATATCCTTTATAGCTTGGATATATGCTACTCGTACTCCTTTCTTCTCTAAAATCCTCCAAAGAATGTCTCTTGGGACCCTATCATACGCTTTTTCCAAATCTATAAAAGACCATGTGTAAATCCTTTTTCCCATCTCTATATCTTTCCATCAATCTTCGTAAGAGATAGATTGCCTCCATGGTTGAGCGCCCCTGGCATGAACCCGAATTGGTTGTCCGAAACCCGTGTCTCTTGCCTCAATCTATGCTCAATGATTCTCTCCCCAGAGCTTCATTGTATGACTCATTAGCTTAATACCCCTATAGTTCATGCAATTTTGTACGTCGCCCTTATTCTTGTAGATAGGCACCAAAGTGCTCGTTCGCCACTCATTTGGCATCTTCTTCGTTTTCAAAATCCTATTGAAAAGGTCAGTGAGCCATGTTATACCTGTCTCTCCCAAAAGTTTCCACACTTCGATTGGTATATCGTCTGGGCCTATTGCTTTTTTATGCTTCATCTTCTTCAAAGCTACAAACCACTTCTTCCTTCCGGATTCGACGATAAAAAGAGTAGTTTTCTACACTCTCTTCTGAGTTACTCAACTCCCCTAAAGAAGCACTCATTTCATGTCCTTCATTGAAAAGATTATGAAAATAACCTCTCCATCTGTCTTTAACCGCGTTCTCTGTAGCAAGAACCTTTCCATCCTCATCCTTGATGCAAATCACTTGGTTTAGGTCCCTTGTCTTCTTTTCCCTTGCTCTAGATAGTTTATAGATATCCAACTCTCCTTCTTTGGTATCTAGTCGTTTATACATATCGTCGTAAGCCGCTAACTTAGCTTCTCTGACAGCTTTCTTCGCCTCTTGCTTCGCTTTTTCTATACCTTTCACCATTTTCATCGGTCCTCTCTCCTTGTATAAGGCTTTACAACATTCCTTCTTAGCCTTCACCTTTGTTTGTACCTCCTCATTCCACCACCAAGATTCCTTTTGGTGTGGGGCAAAGCCCTTGGACTCTCCTAATACCTTTTTTGCTACTTTTCGGATACAACTAGCCATGGAATCCCACATTTGGCTAGCTTCCCCCTCTCTATCCCACACACATTGGGTGATTACCTTCTCTTTGAAAAATGGCTTGTTTTTTTCTTCTTTTAGATTCCACCATCTAGTCTTTGGGCACTTCCAAGTCTTGTTCTTTTGTCTTACTCTTTTGATATGTACATCCATCACCAACAAGCGATGTTGATTAGCCACGCTCTCTCCTGGTATAACTTTGCAATCCTTACAAGTTATACGATCCCCTTTCCTCATTAGAAGAAAATCTATTTGTGTTTTTGACGACCCACTCTTGTAGGTGATCACATGTTCTTCTCTCTTCTTAAAGAAGGTGTTGGCTAAGAAGAGATCATATGCCATTGCAAAATCCAAGATAGCTTCCCCATCCTCGTTTCTCTCCCCAAAACCATGGCCACCATGAAAACCTCCATAGTTGCCTGTCTCCCTGCCCACGTGTCCATTTAAATCTCCTCCTATAAATAACTTCTCCGTCTGAGCAATTCCTTGCACCAAGTCTCCAAGATCTTCCCAAAATTTCTCCTTCGAACTCGTATCCAACCCGACTAATGTGGGTCTCACCCCACTTCTTGCTTAACCAACGTGTAAAATTCGTAAATTTCTAAGGCTTGCACGGTTCACCCATAACGAGCTTTATTGTATTCTACCAATTCGTAGTCATAATAAATATTAGAGAGGTAGTACTATGTCTTGCAAGGGAGTTGGGAATAATATACTCTCATTCTCATTGTTATAATTATTATTTTAAAAAATCCAGATGGAGGCCTACATATGCAGAAAGAGTGTCAAGTTTATGCATTTCATTGCATTACATCTATAACCAACCTGCAAAAAATGGTATTAGGATTGCGAAAAAGAAACTGAGCATCCATTTGAAATAGATAATCAAGATACTTTAATAATCCGTATGGAAGGTCCTATATTTGGTATAATTGAAAAAATCCAGAATGTCAAACTAAGGAGTAAAATTGAGTTCCATAACAGCAGTTGTGGAACACAAGCTTCACATGCAAAGCCAATACCATTTGAATTATTACCTGTAACAGAAGAATAACTATAAGGTACCTCCTGCTGATGGACAGATGGACTTGTAGATAAGATTCCTTGACGGTGAAACAGAGCATTTGAGTCCCCAGCTGGCTTTCCATCTCTAACAGCGTGATGAGCACAAGAAGATAGTTCAGAGCCGATTGATGAAGTCTCCTGGGAATGAATTCCCGGTGGATAGTGTGTTGGAGCACCTGAATCTGGAACCTGTTGATAGCTAGATGCAGAAAATGACTGATGGTGACTACCAGAATAGTGCGGGTCACCGTTGTGGGGATACTGTTCCTGATAGTGACTCTGTTCTTCTAATCCCCCCGCCGGTGGAAACTGCACCTGTTGATGTTGAGTCTCCATTGCCGTTCTGGCATCTGCCCACGCCTTAGCCTTTGCTTCCCAATCTTGATTATTTGGGGCTACCATTTCATAAAACAATCAAATTTAATTCATTGCCATTAACCCACAAAAAGCAGAAAATCCTATTCCTAGCAGCATTTAATCTATACACTAGATCAAATAAGCAATTGGATAGTTGCACTAATAGGACCTGAGTTTGTTTTACTTCACAAGGGAACTAATTCCACCGAACAGATTAAGTGGACAACAAAGATATAACGGGGAACATAGTGTTTTACTGCATATGAATTCAACAAATAAAGTTGTGGTTTACATGAAATGTGATGCGGAGAGAACTCACCTGCGTAATTCGGCCAACTCGGAGGAGCAGCTCCCCACTCCTGCAAAGGTTTATGCTTTGCGTTAGAACATCAGCATTCCAACTTTATGTTAACCCTCACATCAAGATTCAAGGAGAAACAACGAGTTCAATGCACCCAAAAATCAATTTATCAACACCAGGTGCACATGCATACATATACATGTACTGATATACATATAAATATACATATATATATATAGAGAGAGAGAGAGAGAGAGTTTAGGGAATGCCTGGGCGTGCTGATAAGAATGAGGTGGAGGAGGGCGAGGCGGAGGGGGAGGCAGGTGAGGGCGAGATTGATGAGGAGGGGGAGGGGGAGGAGGGAAGTGGGCGTGATTTGGGGGTTGCGCAGGATAAGGGTGAGGGAGCGGAGGATAAGAACCCGGGGGAGGGAGATGTTCAGCGTACGGCGGAGGTGGTGGGTACTGGTACTGGTTGGGGTACCACTCTGGCCTTGGTTGCTGTTGCTGCTGCTGGTAGTGATAGGGATCCGACGTGACCGGTGGTTGCGGCGGCGGGGGCGGTCTCAGGTACCGCTGCTGCGCTTGGTACGAATCCATGGCGATTTCCCCTTGGATTTTTGGCTCTTTTTCCTGTTTTTTTTCTTTTTTTTTTCGTTTTTTTTTTTGGTTGTTTGTAGCGAGGGTTTGCACAAGTGTTGTGCAATTGAATGAAGACAGAGGAGGAAGAAAGGGGCCCTCTGATTTCGTTTCTATGTTTCCACTCCCGCGGGGCCGCGGTGGGTTTCTACAAGAGCAAGTCCATCCTAAAAAAAATGCGTCAGATTCAAACTCATTTAATCCGTTCAGTGACAGTGATAATCCCAATAAATAGTAATAGGCCAAAAACATCTTCACTTTTAAAAAATACGTTGACACAAATAATCTCTACTCCTATAAAATGCGCTGGCATCCAGCCCATTTAAAATATTATTAAATTTTTTATAAAATAATAAATAAATAAATAGTTTAAATTTCGGATACGATTTTTAACCAATCTTGTCACGTCATATGTCATTATCATAATAAAATTACATAAACTCATCAAATAAACTTTAAAAATACACTAAATAAACTAAGAACTTTATTGTTCCACCACAAGCTCCTTTTAATTATCTTGACCTTGTTGCAATTCCCATTGGTGCTCAATCAAGTCACTTTGACGGGTACAGTGCTAGTATGGCTCTTGCAATGAAGTGTACCGCTTAGTGATCAATTGATTGTAACGTTCATCTCGTTCCAATGGCTCGTGTTACACAGGATCTTCGGTGCCGTCATGAGCACAATAGATACGCGTTCTTGATTTGTTCATTGTGTCCGATTCGTATCCGTCGACGGCATCATAATCATAATCATCTTCCACAATCATGTTGTGGAGAACGATACACGTCATCATAATGGATCGAAGTGCCTCGACATCAAACATTCTGGCAGCTGACCTGACAATTGCCTAACGAGCTTACAAGATAACAAAACAACGTTCAATATCCTTCCTACACCTTTTTTGACATTTTGCAAAGTGTTTTTCTTTTTCACTTTGTGGATGTGGGACTGTGTCCACCTTGGGTAAATCTCATATGCAAGGTAGTACGACATTTTGTATGTATGGCCATTAACTGAATATATGACTCTGGGTGTTTTCCTTACAGCACTTCGTCGAAGACTGGAGATTGGGCAAGGACATTTAGGTCATTTTTAGCTCCTGGAACATAAAAAATGCATGCCAAATTCATGTATCAAATGAAGCCACCGTTTCCAAAATGATATTTTTGGCTCATTTTATGTTGCCATACGCTCTTTGCCACACACTTTAACAGTTTTTCCAGGTCCAGTGCATACAGTTGATGCTTCCAATCATGCAAGGGAAGCATCGCATCTCACCCTTCCTTAGTAGCCTTTGCAAATCCCTAAGTGTCTGTTTATGGAGGTACTCCTTCATATAGAGGGCTTTGATTGCGGAGCAAAACTGCATCAGGGACTCCAGAACAGTTGATTTTTCCATCCTCATTATCTTATCCACTTGATCTACAGATACTCCATATGCAAGCATCCGTAAGGCAGTAGTAACTTTTTGCTCAGGAAGAAAACCTAAAACATAAAAAGCATCATTTTTTTGCACAAAGTATTGATCATGGTTGCAAATAGCACTCATGATTTTGTCGAACAAACTTCATTGCATTATAATACGACGTTTAAAAACATGATAAGGGAATATACAGTTGGGGATAAAATAATCTTTCAAGAGATTTGTACCTCTTTTTTCCCTCTTTCTTTCGAAGTTTGTAGCACGTCTGGGTTTGGATATTTAACCCACAACTTCCATGACACGGCGAGAATGTGAGGCCATCTGCTTTCTATGGTTATCATCCTCATCCTCCTTCATTGCGAAAGCCTCAGCTCCACCTCCACCTTCCTCGAGATTGACCAATTCTTCCTGTTGTGCCAACAATCTTTTCTGTTACTCTTCAAACTGTTTATACACTCTCCTTGAAGAAGACATTGTAAAAACTCAAGATTTGAAAACAATAAAGATGGATGTAGGGATGTAGGGATGTAGAGTTTATATGAACAAAAACATAAAGGATGAGGGTCTTGGTATTTTTTTTGCACAAAAAGTATATGAAAGTTTTGGTAGGAAGTGTTGAAAATATTGAAATATGGTGTAAGGTGGAAGATGAGGGTTAGGTATTTATAGGAAAAATATTTTTAATTTTTAATTTTTTTATGTATTTTTTAACAATTTTTAATAATTTTTAATTAACTTTTATAAATTTTAATTTAGGTAATTAATCTAGACCGTTGGATTTGAAAAAAATTCAAATCCAACAACCTATACGTTGACACGTGGCCAAATGTCATAATTATGACTGTTGTGCCTTTTTTTAAAAAAATTTGTGGGGGAAAAACGTGGATTGTTGATCTCTGGATCGGACAGTCCAGATCAAGCCACATCACTAGCCATTGGATGTCAAATTCAAAAAATTTTTACCGTTGGAAATCCAACGGCCCAGGACGGGCCACATGGCCTCCCATCAGTTTGGTTTAGTGCACCTGCGCAAGTGAGCCCGCCTCTAATTTCTTGTCGGCGACACGGGCCTGGCGTAAAAAAAAATATTAAAATGGCCTCCAACGTCACGCTGGCATCAGCATAACGTTAGATGGACCGTCCTATGGGTTTGTCGATTTTGGGCTGGCCTGAAGACCAACTTGGGCTAGGTGCCGGCCTAAAAGTCCTCGGTGGACTTGCTCTAACTTGGGCCTTTGGGCCGTGGGGGTTTATTTAAGAATTTCACTATATTTTGCAGTTCTGATTTTTCACATCTTACTTTTACTTTCTTACATTCTTTTTATTTTTTATGATTAGACAAGATTAAACATAAGTGTGAATATTTAAAAGCATTTACTATTAAGATCCTGTGTTCAAGTCCTCCAATATCGGTTCCATCACAGATTCACAAAAGGAGGAAAAAAAAAAAGAAATGTACAAAGAAAGTAAGTGAGTCACAAAATTGTGGTAGGATTAAGCAATTCAACCAAGAGCCAAACAAGCTAATTAAATCATAATCAATCACTCAAATTTTTTTCTATAATTGTGTTTGTTCGTTTTACATAAATACAACAGTGAGTATATACACAAATTCTATAAAAACTTTGGTGTACAAGTATATTTCCGAAGCCATACGTACAAGTATATTTCCTGTCACTGGATTGAATCCATACAGTTTCAGGCATAAAAAAAAAAAGGGAGTACGACGCTGCAGATTCCGTTTGTAGCAGCATTTGTATAACTTGTGGAGTTGGCAATGGCATCACTATAACAGCGGCTTCTGGTGCTGCATGATCTATAGAGGACCTTGCTTCACAACTTTACACCCACTGCGAGTTCTCGTTTCCACGTATTGTATGTGTCAGCAGTATGAAATTTGGTTGCACCTCCATGATCCATGATGCATCTCATAAACAAAAAATAATCGAATAAATACGAGTTAAACTTGTGTTGTTATGATCCTCTTTAGATCGTGCCACAGCATCGGCTTGTCTTCTCGTCAGTCGTGCATAGAGGCCATCCCCAAAGAGAACCACCCTGTGACTCCCAGTCTGTGTAACACAAAAGTTGTATTCAAATTATAAAAAAGAAAAAGTAACGAAAAGTGATTGAAAATTTTGAGTTTTAACGATAAAAACAAAATAATAAGTAAAATGAATAGTAATATAATTGATTTTTTAATGTAAAAATATGGTTTTTCATTAAAGTGAACAGTACCGGAAGCTTTTCGTTAAAGTTCCTTATAAAAAATCAATATAGAATGTTGACGTAGTTTAATCATAATCGTTCAAATAAGAAGAAATGAAAAGGAAGAGAGATTAGCAGGTACAAAAGATACTAAGCCTCCTGGTTTGGTGGGTACCTACTTCAAGCAACCGAACTTCAATAATTTAATTAAACGGTTAAAAATTAAGAGAAATGTGTACAAAATAAAAAAATTTTGAAGGCAAAACTTTTTGGGCATATCTGAAGTTACCGCAAAAAAAAAAAATACTGACGCGTGTACGCCTACTCGTAAAACGACGGCGTGAGAAACGTGTTTTCCCGAGACAAGTCGAGGCTGCTACAGTTGCCACACGTCTCTCGTCTGTGACGCGCCACGTTCACATGCTTTCCAAGACTATTGCCCTAGCCAAACTCAGAATCTATGAACCAGAGCGCCCAGATTATTAACGTAATTACGTATCAAATTAAGGGTATTTCCGTCTATATAAATCAACGACCCAAATCTCTCTCCCACTGGCTTTTCAGCGGGAACCCCATATCTTACTCTTCTCTGGCTCTTTCCGGAACACGATGGCCGTGGTTATCGGAAACCTAGCTCTGCTACTAGACGTCACGTCGCCGAGGACCATAATTCCTGATCGGAAGACTCGTCCGGTGGCGCTCGACGCGCTTTTGAACATGAACCTGACCTTGCCGAAGCGGGACCCGCAGAGTCACGCACACAACGGGTTTATCGCGGTCAAGGGGTTTGACTCGGACGGGGAGACTCGGAGCCAGCGAGTCGTGGCTCGGGGAAAAGCGAATTCGAAGGTAAACGGCGTGGACTTCGACAGGGACGAGGAGGGGAACGGGAATGGGTACGGGGACGGGGACGATCAGGAGCCGTTGGATTGGGAGAAGGAAATGCGGAAGAGGGTGAAGGAGATCGAGGAGAGGAGGGAGTTGGAGAAGAAGGCGGAGGAGATACAGAACCGGATGGAGGAGGATTTCGAAGACGACGGCAGGGAAGAGACGGAGCAGGAGAAGCGGATGAGAGTGAGGAAAGAGCTCGAAAAGGTCAGTCTTTTGAGCTAATTTACTGTTTGGTTCCTCGGAAAACAGAGTAAAAGTTTTCGATTTTGCGTCGACAAGTGATTTGCGCACACCCTTTCTCACTTGCACACATTGAATAAAAAGGAGGCACGTAACTTTGCGTGACACAAGTATACGCGTGAACAAGGTGTGCAGAAGGATAAAGGGGTTGTGCGGAAATTATTTCCCGATTGATTTATATAGCAAATTGAAGCTCGATTCTTGAAGTGCTTATTGCTTTAGGCGCATGTAATATGTGTTTGATTTCATGGTTGGTTGTGAAATTACGGGTAGGTTCAATTGTAGTTATAATGAGATTGATTGGTTTAATTTGTTTTTGTGGTATGAGGGCAGGTGGCTAAGGAGCAGGCGGAGCGGAGAGCCACGGCGCAGTTGATGTTTGATTTGGGACAGAAGGCGTATGGAAGGGGCATGTACGGCCGTGCCATTGAGTTTTTAGAAGGCGCGCTCACGATCATTCCTAGGCCCACGTTATTCGGTGGTGAGGTTGGTTTAATTTCCCATGGACCATGTGGAACTTCTTCGGACAATTGTGTTAATGCCAGTACATGTTTGTTCAGTTGCTAATGGAAACTTTTTGTGTTGTTTTCAGATACAAATTTGGCTTGCTATGGCCTACGAGGCTAACAACCGCCATACCGATTGCATTGAACTTTACCATCAATTGGAGAAGAAGCACCCGAGTGCCAGCATCCGGCGCCAAGCAGCAGAGCTTCGGTACATTTTGCAAGCACCAAAGCTCAAGATAACACAAGAAGAGATGGTAACCATACCACTCATTGGTTCTAGTTATGACAGGTATTGGCCCTTCTCACTCAAGCATATCATGCTAATTGTAATTAGCCAATGGTTAAAGTGCATGTGTTTCGATCTGCATAGAGGAATCCCTGAATCACCTGCATTGGGCTTTCCAGTTCTCGGTCTATCAATTACAAAGCTAAAACATTTGATGCCCTCCTCGTCGAGCATTAAGGTCCTTCCAACTTGTAATGGAGACATTATTGATCCCTAAATCTTTGTTTAAGATGGTCATACTGAAAATTAACCTCTTGACGGATGTTTGATAATCTTGAATTTAATTAACATTTGGAGTCTGTCTGAAATCAATGCTTTGAGTTGGTGTCACCCTTAGTCTCTACTAGTTCTAGAGAAGTAGGGCTGCAAATGCAAATAAACATATTGAACTAAGGCTGTATCACAGTTCAGTAGCTTTGTTTTGAATAATTTGGAGGTCGTTTGATAACCACATCGCTTTTAGTTTTTTCTCAAAAACACTTGGTTAACACCCGTTTATGTCTCAGTTTTTTCTCATTTCCTGCAATTCTTCTCAAATCTTCCCTGACTAATGTGGTTTATGATGCTTGAGCAATGCAGCTATGCTGGAACGTGGAGTGATAAATACAAAGGCAAAGAACCGACTAGCAGCGGGACAGTGACCAATCAGCTCTCGTCGTCTAGAGACTATTTCGGAGACTTTATGGTATGGCGACCTCCAATCGGACTGGAGAAAAACCAAGCGTTCTGGATAGGTTTGGCATTGTGGTTGGGTTTAGTTGGAGCTGCGCTCTTTATTCAAAACTGAATTATACAAATCCTTCTTCTTATTCATGTAATTATTGGTTGTTCTTGTAATATATGTACATTTCATGGCAAAAATGTTGAATCTCTCTACTTTCTCAAGGTTGCATTTTCATTTCCAACTCCTTTTTGTTTGAGTAACCTGATTTTAACAACTTTGAAAGCAAATATTATCAAATAGGTCACAATATTCCGAACTGACAACGAATTGTATTCTGAAATGACAATGAATCACCCAATGATTTTAGTGTGGCCTCTATACAATCTAGAAGTGAGTTGAGCCCGTTTTAAAAAATTCATATGTCAATCCACGTAGGATTGCATATCGGTTAAAGTTTCTTTCTACCTTCAAATTTGATTGTGTGGCATTCCATGATTCCACTTGGAATTTGACATCTGAAATGTTAATTTTCACATTGTGGGGTTCTTTAGGTCCTAAAATTATTTCTGGTGTGGGCCGGATGATTGGGCTATGACAAAGAGTACAGATATGGCCTGGCTTTAAAATACCACAGTTAGCCCTACTTGAAACGCCTCTCGAATCCTCAATCCTCAGGGTAAAAGCGTAAAACCACACGAATTCCCACCGGATAAATACCCCAAATCCCTGCCCCCCCCCAGTCTTCTGTGCCGCCGAAACCCTAGCTAGGTGAGTGAGAGCAGGAGGCGCAGACAGAGAGAGAGAAATGACGACCCGATTCAAGAAGAACCGCAAGAAGAGAGGCCACGTCAGTGCCGGTCACGGTCGTATCGGCAAGCACCGAAAGCATCCCGGAGGTCGCGGTAACGCCGGAGGCATGCACCACCACCGGATCCTCTTCGACAAGTACCATCCGGGGTATTTCGGTAAAGTCGGTATGAGGTACTTTCACAAGCTTCGCAACAAGTTCTACTGCCCCATCGTGAACGTCGACAAGCTCTGGTCGCTCCTCCCCCAGGAGGCCAAGGACAAGGCCACCAAGGAAAACACGCCGCTCATCGACGTGACCCAGTACGGCTTCTTTAAGGTCCTCGGCAAGGGCGTGTTGCCTCAGAACCAGCCCGTCGTGGTCAAGGCCAAGCTCATTTCCAAGACCGCTGAGAAGAAGATTAAGGAGGCCGGTGGCGCCGTCGTGCTCACCGCTTAGGTTTGGGTTGTTTTGGAATTTTGTGCACTAGGGTTTTCGATTAAAGTTGCTGTCTTTTGGATTTGGAATTTCTGTTTAGACTGCTGAGCTACAGTTTATGTTATATTTTGGAAGTTTAATTAGCGGATATTTATATGCATTTCTGCTTTTCCAAATGAATGGTTTTGCTGTGGATGTATGATTATGTTGTGGTATCGTGACGGTTTTGTTTCGATTTTGTGTTTGTTACAATTTGTTTGGCATTATGATTATCCATTTTCGAAAGCTCGTGAGCATTGCTATGTATGCTTTCCGAATGCAGCATTGAAATTCATGTTGATTCGACGCCACTTGCACTTGTGAAATCGAGTTTTTGCATTTGTGCATTTCATCTCTTTTCGACAACATATGTGCTGGCTGGGCGTAGGCCATAACTGTATCTTGTTAGTCCTCCACTGCAAAGGATGTATGGCCGGAAATGCTTTTAACCGGTGTGTTTAGGGTAGAGGCCATCCGACTGCTTAACAGTTTATGATTGTTTTGCATATTAGACCCTCTTAAGATTCACATTCATTTGCATTTGTGATGTGTTCTTGGTTGGTTACAAGTTGAACAGATGTTATAGAGGCAGAGTCAAATTGAATTGATCTTCTGTCCTTCTTGTTAATCCATTCAGTTAAGTATTTAGTAACTATCAAAAGCAGATGTTCTTAAGCACTACATATAGCTGCATTTGCTAGTTTGTTCTGTTAGGCTGTACAAGCATATGATGCAAGATGTAATAAATTTTTAGTGCTGCTGTTTGGGAGAAGAACTTACATGCAACTGGGGCGGTGTCCTAATTAGGGCTGAAAAGGAAGAAAACCGAAAAAACTGAACATGACCCGAGCGGTACTTAACCATAAAGAATAATAACACGATTTTATTTATCAACTGTTTTCATTGTCGAGTTCCATTGCCATATAGGATTCACAAGATCTATGTTACTTCTTACAGCATATAGCCCTCCTTCCTGATAAGACCTAAATCGTTGTTCTTTTCCAAATCTCTATGTCCACCGTTGTTCTGTGAATCTGTATGCCCTCCGTTCTCTTTCGATTCTATTTCCCCTCCCCATTTCCTTATCCTGTCTTCAGCCATGGATGCCTGCAATATTATTACAGATTACGTCTCAGCTTATGTTTTTATATTTGGACAGACCAGAATATTCGATATCGATCGACCACCACCACCGTTACCTCTTTGTTCCAGCTGGTTTAACAAATCATCGAAAAAAGGTACCAGTTTGAAGGACAGTCCCCAGCGGCAATCCGGTCCAAATACCCTGGAAGTTATCAAAATATATTTACTTTACCACTAGAGTAAATATAAAAATTGAAATGGAAGCAGACGTTGGCTAGGTCAGTTAGTGCGAACTCACCTTTGCACCCCCATGAAGCTTGTAACCCATGATTAGGCCCAAGGGAACCCCAAATGCATAGTAGCATATTATGTTCATATAACCCACTACAGCTTGCCATCCTGCTCCAACGGCGACCCCAGAGAGAAGTGTTTGAGCGTTGTTTATAACAATACAGGTAGCCAGCAACGGAGTGAGTTGCTTCACTAGAGCTTTCACCTCCGAATCACTTGAAAACAAAGACGGATATATGTCCCGGGTGATGATGAGTGCTAGCCAGAGCGCAACGCCGATCAGAAATGAAGTCACCACGGCCACTACTAACGAAAACTTTGCCGTTCTTGGGTGAGATGCGCCTTGTTAATTTTTTTTCAAAGATTTCCGATACGTTTCATTTGGTCTATATCATAATGGATAGGGTGTTAGCCTTCTACCCATACGTTTCAAATTTGAAATTTCGTTCGTGAAATTGTTGTAATAGTTTCAACCCTTTCCCCACCCTTAATAATAATAAGTTTATAAAAATATTCTTATTCAAATTAGTTAGAGTAGTGTTTTTTCTCTTGTACTGAAGTTCAAATCACCCTCCTCATAACTTTTAGATAAATTTAGCATAGAATATATTTTTCCTCACTTGCCATTATTCACAAAATTAAATTACCTTTATTTTGGAATTAACTTGGCTCCTCAATGAATGAGGAGTTCCTCTTCAATTCACTATGTAGCCAATTTACGGAACCTCATGCTTATAATCCGAATCATTCATATTATAAATCACTACATAAAAATTATCTCTACAAAAAATTAATTAACTATGAGATCATTTGGTCATCAAATTGTACACAAAAACAAATTTGAGTCCTGAAGCTGCCAAACAATAGCAAATACTGGATTTCTAGTTTCGGGGATCTATTCTGTATCTTGCATAACTTTCAACTCAGAACCCCGTTTCCTACAAATCTTATATGCTTTTAATGTACTCAAAACAAGCTTCCAATCTCATGTAAGTTTGCATCATTTGGTATGGTTATGGGTGTTCAAAATCGAGCTTAATCTTGGTTGACTAAGACTGTTTTTTTTCTGTAGCTGTTGTGTAGTTCCAACTTTATCGATCAAAGCATTTCTTTAAAGTCAGAAACAATGTATATTATATAGGTGTGCACTATATGATTCCATCCTTTGGCTGATAAGTGTGCACTATATGATTCCATCCCTTGGCTGATAAGATAAATTTGAGTAAAGCTATGATATAATTATAAGCTCAATTATTTTATTGTTTTGGTGCATTTTTATACCTACTGAAACACATCATTACTAATGGTCGAAAATTATTCCTATTCATGTATTTACAATTATTTATTTTAGATCAACCAAAAGGGCATTGAATTTGGATACTGTTACATTAGTAATTCGAAGTACTTTAACTAGGATTAAAATTCATGTCATGCATTTAGTAATATCTTACAATTGTGAAACAGAATTTGGCTGCAATGGGTGTTAGTAACTAAGAACAATGCTTAGGAATCCAAGTAGGGGAAATATGACATAGATTGATTGTATTTAACATCATGGAATGTTATATTATTTATCTCATGGTTGATTACTCTTGTTGAATGCGTACATCATTGGATCACTTGGATGAGAACTGAATTATGGCTTTTGTTAGATATCATTGTTATTGTTATGATTAGACTTGTCGATAAATATGGCTAGAGAGTATGATTGTGCTTCGTCGTTTGTTCTTTGAAATATTGCATGATATGCATTGTGGTATATTGTTGGGACATAACGAGTTATGTGATGAATGTTCTAATGTAGTGAATAATGAACTACGAATGGTTTGATCCCTATTTAGGGTGCGTAGGCAGTCTAACGAGGATGTTAGATGCAGCCATAAAGTCTATGAAGAATTGTTGCGCAGTTGGATCTTAAGTTGTTTTTTGCCATTTCCTAGAGGCGGGGTATGTTAGAGATACGGGTATTTGGTGACATCACGTGTCGAACCTGGACGTACTTCGGGATCGGGGGTGTGACACCTGCTTCAGACTAGAACTGACGTTTTATTACATCCCACATCGCCCAGGGGAGTGGATCATGTAAGCCTTATATGTATATTCTCATATCTACCTAGCACAAGGCCTTTTGGGAACTCACTGGCTTCGGATTCCATTGGAACTCCGAAGTTAAGCGAGTTCGCGCGAGAGTAATCCTAAGATGGGTGACCCGCTAGGAAGTTCTCGTGTGAGTTTCTAGAAACAAAACCGTGAAGGCGTGGTCAAGGCCCAAATCGGACAATATCGTGCTACGGCGGAGTTGAGCCCGAGATGTGGTGGGGACCCGGACCAGAATGTGACACGCTCGATCTAGAAAAATGGCTAGCGTCTTGGGGTGGTGGACTGGCGACATTGGACAAGAAATATGCAAAAATTGGTTAACCAAAACCGACTGAATACCGAAACTTTTTTAGCTTTCTCGAATTTTCGTTAACCGAAAAAATCAGTTCGATTTTCTATTAATTTTCCCTTTACTGAAATTATTATTTCAATTTTTTTGTTTGGATTAAGTCCCTAGTCCTAATTACACAATTTCATGTGGACAAAACAAATGCTATGGT